ACAGCCTCCGTGGCGAACACCCAATAAATCGCCACAAACTCATAAATCATGGCAGCCGGTACCCTCTCATCCTTCCCCCCCCCACCATTCTCCTCCTCATTCTCCGCCATTACCCCAATCCCCCCTCCCCCCCTCCACTTCCCGCCCCTTCCAACTCCACTTTCCACCTCATCCCCTTTTATCACGGCATCCCCATTCCTTCCTTTTTTCCCCCAACCCCTCTTCCCCTTTCGCCCCATCCCCATTCCTTCCTTTCTCCCCATCCTTCCCCTTCCCCTTCATCCCATCTCCATTCCTTCCTTTCTTCCTTTCCTTCCCTCCCTTTCGCCCCATCCCCATCTCCATCCCTCCCCCTCTCCCCCCCTCCCCTTTCACCCCATCCCCATCTCCATCCCTTCCCCTCTTCCCCCCCTCCATATCTCCATCCCCCCTCCCCCCTTCTACCATCACCCCAACCTCCACCCTACCCCTCCCCTCCCCCCTCCCATGTGCCGTTAAACTACTTCATAAAAGTGACTAGAATAAATCTCTCTAAGAACAGGGGGGGGCGGGGGAGGGAGTGGGGGTTAGGGGTGTGGGGGGGGGGCAGTAGAAAGAAAGAAAGAAAAAAAAAAAACTTCTATAACTTTAAACTGTTCACTGATCCTTCGCCATCTCTGTAAATACTGGAAGACTTTGCGAGATTTTACGAGATTTTGCGAGACTTGGCGTAAGAAAGGGCAGCGTGATTAATCGCTCGGATAATCACCTATATTTGTCAAGTTTCTTCTCCGTGTCGAAAGTAAGCTACGCCTCTCTTCAGCAAATGACAGACAGACAGACGGACGGACGGACGGACGGACGGACGGACAGACAGACGGACGGACAGACAGGCAGGCAAACAGATAGGGGTAGCACAGACTGGCATAGATGTATACACGGAACGCGCACAGACTGATAGACATGTGTTTAGACAGAACACAGACATCAAGTTAGACGTATAGACCAGGGCACAGACAAACAGACAGACAGACAAACACACACAGACGAGAGGCACAAACAGACCGGTATTTAGATGAAAGTGTATTTCCCTTACATTATTACATAAATAGCACGAAACTAAATAAAAACAAACAGCACAGGAAATATTGCAGAGAAGAAAAGAGCAACATCTTCCGGGTCCTCCTTATTGCAGTGCAAATGAGTCTCTCATTCTGAATCGCGTTGCAACAGAGAAACCCCGTTAAGACTAAAATCTTGTTTAATTGGCTCTTTAGCTAACAATGGCCGCTTGAGAGGTAGAGAAGGATAGGCAGAAAGAGAAAAAAAAGAGAAAGAAAGAAAGAAAGAAAGAAAGAAAGAAAGAGAGAGAGAGAAAGAGAGAGAGAGAAAGAGAGAGAGAGAAAGAGAGAGAGAGAAAGAGAGAGAGAGAGAAAGAGAGAGAGAGAGACAGAGAGAGAGAGAAAGAGAGAGAGAGAAAGAGAAAGAGAGAGAGAGAGAGAGGAAGAGAAAGAGAGACAGAGAGAAAGAGGAGAGAGAGAGAGAGAGAGAGAGAGAGAGGAGAGAGAGAGAGAGAGAGAGAGAGAGAGAGAGAGAGAGAGAAAGAAAGAGGAGAAAGAAAGAGAGAAAGAAGAGAGAAAGAGAGAGAGAAAGAGAGAGAGAGAGAGAGAGAGAGAGAGAGAGAGAGAGAGAGAGAGAGAGAGAGAGAGAGAGAGAGAGAGAGAGAGAGAGAGAGAGAGAGAGAGTCAGCCAGACATCCTCCCTCCTTACGTCTAAATAAGTACAGTCTTATATAAACCTTGCGTGTGCGTGCGTGCCCACGTGTGCGTGTGTTCGGTCGTATCGTGGATGCACACGGCTGGGAGGGTATCTGCCTTTGACTCACGGCTATTTGTTTGTGTCTGTTTGTCTGTATCTGTCCGTCTATGGCTGTAGCTCTCTCTCTCTCTCTCTCTCTCTCTCTCTCTCTCTCTCTCTCTCTCTCTCTCTCTCTCTCTCTCTCTCTCTCTCTCTCTCTCTCTCTCTCCCTCCCTCCCTCCCTCCCTCTCTTCTGTCTGCTTGTCCGTTTCTCTGTCAGTTGGTTTGTTCTCTCTTCTTCCCCCATTTTCATTCACTATGTTTCTTCCTCCCTTTCCCTCCCCTTATTCTTCCCCTTCTCCTACTCCCTCTTTCTCTCTCTCTCTCCAGGAGTTAGAGGGAGAGGAGAGAAAAGAGCAGAGACAGGGAAAAGGAGACGAGAAAGGGGGGGGGGGAGAAAGGAAAGAAGCAACAAGACAGGAGAAAAAAAAAATTCGAAGGGAAAAAGAAAAGAAAGGGGAAGTGTAAAGGGGAGGAAGAGGAGGGCAGAAGGATAGAAAGAGATAGAAAGAGAAAGAAAAACAAATGGTTCGAGGAAGAAGAGAACAAAGCAATGCGTAAAGAGGAGACAGAGGGCGGAGGGAAAAGAAAATACAGAAAGAGAAAGACAAAGAGAGAACAAAGAAGAGAACAAAGCAATGCGTAAAGACAAGAAAAGAAGACGATGAGGAGGGCAGAGGGAAAGGAAGAGACAGAGAGAGAGAGAGAGAGAAAGAAAAAAAAATGGTTCGAGGGGAAAAGATAACAAAGAGGAAGCGTAGAGAGGAGAAAGAGGAGGAAGAGGAGGGCGGAGGGACCTCTTATCCTAGCCGAGGAGACACCTGAGACGTGGCGAGGCCGGGCGGGCGGGCGGGCGGGCGGGCGGGAGGCGGGGAAGTGGGCGTGGCTGCCACAAAGGCTTACGCTCCTCCTCTTCCTCGGCTTCCTTCCTTTTTTCCTTATTTTTATTTCCCCTTTTTTCTCTTAGTTCTTTTTAAATTCTTTTAATTTTCTCCCCTTCCTCTATTTTTTTTCTTTTTCCTTCTCTTTTTTTTCGTCCCGTCTTCCTGTTCCCTCTGGCTCCCGTTCTTATTCCTACTGTTCTTCTTTTTTAATCCCTTTCTCTCTTTCATTCTTTCTTCTTCCTCTCTTCCTTTTCCCCTTCCTTTCTACCTCTTCCTCCTCCTCCTCCTCCTCCTCCTCCTCTATTTTTGCCTTATCCCCACCTTTCCTCCTACACCTCCTCCTCTCCCTTCCCCTCCAAAAGAAAGAGGAAGAGAGATGGACGTAATAAAAATGAGAATAGGGACAAAGTAGAAAGACAAAGTCACAGCCATAATTACACAAAAACAATTAATCCACCAATAAACAATTTCTTGTTTAATAACAACATCACGTGAAAAACAATACCATAACGTGAAAATGTAAAGAAAAAAAAAACTAATGACATAGCGATTAAGACCATTAATATTATGGATTTTTTTTTTTTACATGATAAAATAACTATTACTGTTCTGTCCGTAATATAAGCGAAAATTGCATTTGCATCGGAAAGAAGATATTTTTGTTGCATCAACCGGAAATTTCACTTTCACGTCCATCATTAAAATGTGTTTGTGAGTGTCTTTGTACTTGTGTGTTTGTATTGTATATGTCTGTGTGTGTGTATATACGCGTGTGTGTTTGTGTGTGTTTGTGTGTTTGTGTGTGCGTGTGCGTGTGCGTGCGTGTGCGTGTGCGTGTGCGTGTGCGTGTGTGTGTGCGTGTGTGTGTGTGTGTGTGTGTGTGTGTGTGTGTGTGTGTGTGTGTGTGTGTGTGTGTGTGTGTGTGTGTGTGTGTGTGTGTGTATGTGCATGTGTATGTGTGTGACGAGTGAGTGATAAGTATGTACGTCTATTTCCGTATGCATGCGTCTATAAGTGTGCATACATGTGCGTCCACGTTATCTCCGCCGAAGCCAGCCAAAGCCAGCGCGAGACCCAGTGCAACCAAATCCTTGCCAATCATCCTCCCTTGCAAGCGGCGGACAGCGAGCAACAGGGAAGCGGAGCAAAGAGGAAAGAGAAAGAGAATAACAACGGCCGAAAACAACATACGTGCAGCAGCTGATAAAAGGTCACGAGGCAGCATGACCCAAGCGGTTACCATGACGACCGGTTCCCCTCTCCGCCAGGCAGCTCGCCAGCCAGTCATCAGACAGCATCTCCTCCCTTTCCCTCTCCCTTCCCCCCCCCCCTCCGCCAACCTCCCTCCCCCTCTCCACTTTCCTTCCCCCTCCTTCCGCTTCCTCCCTCCCCCCCCATTCCCCCCGTACCCGCTCGCAAGCTTAAAAAAAAAAAAAAAAAAAAAAAAAAAGCAATAGCATGCAAATTAACCCGACGTTCAACTCGTAATATCACCGCCGCTTGTACGGATATAAAGCCCGAGTGTAATGACTGCGGTGAGTGATAATGGTGATAATGGTGATGAAGGTAATGGTGACAATGGCGATGGTAATAGTGTTCTAGCGGCGTGGCGTGTTCAAAGCAGCGAAAAGGAAATCAATCAATTAATTCTCCGAAACATTAAAAGGCATTCGAAACAGGAAACAAAAGAGGGACAAAGCAGCAGTTAACAAACAAACCAAACAAAAAAAAAATCGCGGACGTTCGTGTTTACAGCTTGATTAAAAATAATGGCAATATTAGTGATAATCGCTCTCGAAGAAATGTTAAACGCATTCTAAAGCGATTATAGTCTCCTTTTAAGCGACTCGACCCCACGCCAAACGTGTTCTGAGCATGTTTCTCCTCTCTTTTCCTTCCAGCCGTCAGCAGCAGAGTCGCTAAAGGGGCGAACCAACGAACGGACGCAATAAATAAACAGCCGAGCTTAGCGGTTTCCAGCGCCCGACCCTGACGGCGGAAGAGCAACGGCGCGGTGCTCTCCGCTCGCCCTTCCCGGAGGACAGAGGCGATCGCTCGGGGCCGCCGCAGGAGCCATGCCCTCTCCCTCGGACACGTCCATCGAGGCCTGAGCCCTGAGGACACCCCCCAAGTATTAGCGCTTTCCTCCTCGGCGCTTTCCTCCTCGCTTCCTCCTCTCCCTTCTTCATCTTCGCTCCCTCTTCCTCCCGCTTCTCTTTTGCGCTGAGGATCCTCCAGGGACTGACAAAAGCAATAACACAGCCTCCATCCTAACTCTCCCCCCTCCTCCTCCTCCTCCTCCTCCTCCTCCTCCTCCTCCTCCTCCTCCTCCTCCTCCTCCTCCTCCTCCTCCTCCTCCTCCTCCTCCTCCTCGCGTCCACTATGACAGACGAGGCTGGCCACTCCACCGTCCCCTGGCTCACCGCCCCTCCCGCCACGGCTGCGGCGGCGGCGGCAGCGGCGGCGGCAGCAGCGGTAGCCTCCTCTTCCTCTTCCACCTCCTCCTCCTCCGTCTCCCCCATCACCACCTCCACCTCCGCCTCGGCCTCCGTCGGCTCCGAGCCCTCCGTCAACCAGAAGCTGTTCCTCGTGGTCAGCGTCGCCCTCGCCACCGTCTGCTTCTTCACTAACGTCGTGCAGGTAAGTCACAGAGAGAGAGAGAGAGAGAGAGAGAGAGAGAGAGAGAGAGAGAGAGAGAGAGAGAGAGAGAGAGAGAGAGAGAGAGAGAGAGAGAGAGGGGAAGGGGAAAGGGGGAGAGAGAGAGGGTGAAGGGGGAGAGGGAGGGGGAGAGAGGGGGAAGGGGGTAGAGGGAGAGAGGAAGATAGGAAGGAAAGGAAGGGAGGGAGAAGAGGGAGAGCTGCAGGGACCGTGAGAGAGAGATCACGAGAGAGAAAACAGAATAGGATGACAAAATAAACAAACCACACCAAACCAAAACCGACCAGCAGCAAGAGGAACAAGGAGAGAGGGTGAAAGAGAAACTAGGAGAGAAGGTGAAAGAGGTACAAGGAGAGAAAGTGAGAGAAGAGAAAATAGGAGATAAACAAACACAACCCAACCCAAAAACTACCACCACCACCACCACCACAACCAAAACAACCCAACAATCCAGAGGCAAACCAAACAACCACACCACACAACGACCACCCCGCTACAACGGCCACCATCCCTACGGCCATCATCCCCTTCCCGACATGATTGGTCTTGGTTTTTTATCCGCATTACTTTCGGCCGATACGCCCTGGCACGGGTTCAACCATATACATGCTGGCGCCGATGGAAGACGAGGAAGGGGGAAGAAGTGGGAAGAAAGGAGAGGGATGAGAGAGAAGGGGAGAATGTGGGAAAGGAAGGGATGAGTGAAGAGTGAGGAGGATAGGAGGGATGAGGGAGGGCGAAGAATGGGAGAGGAGGGAGAAGGAGAAGAAGAAGAAGAAGAAGAAGAAGAAGAAGAGAGAGAGAGAGAGAGAGAGAGAGAGAGAGAGAGAGAGAGAGAGAGAGAGAGAGAGAGAGAGAGAGAGAGAGAGAGAGAGAGAGAGAGAGAGAGAGAGAGAGAAAGTCTCAAAAAAACAAAAAAAAAAGCGAATGATATGCACATATAATCCAATATGGATAAGTCTTATGGATATTATAGATAATTAATGCTACATTAATACTATATTCTTCTCCCCATTTCCTCCGCAACCACCCTGATCACCCACCAACCGCCATCCCACAAACCCATCCCCACGCCCACACCCCACGCCCACGACACCAGGTGGCTGTGTTCGCGAGGCCGTCCGCCATCCGATCGGTGAAGGGCGTGCTACTCCTGTCGCAGGCCCTCAGCGGTCTCGTTGCCTCCTTCGTCGTGGCCTTTCCCATCCACGTCATCTCGGCGAGGGGAGGTGAGCACGTGGGGCGGTCTATGTCTATGTCTATGTCTATGTTAATGTTAATGTTAATGTTAATGTTAATGTTAATGTTAATGTTAATGTTAATGTTAATGTTAATGTTAATGTTAATGTTAATGTTAATGTTTATGTTAATGTTTACGTTTATGTCTATGTCTTTGTTTATGTTTATGTCTAGGTCTTTGTTTATGTTTATGTCTGTCTTTGTTTATGTTTATGTCTATGTCTTTGTCTTTGTTTATGTTTATGTTTATGTTTATGTTCGTTTTTGCTGCGCTGTGTTGCGTTGTGTAGCGCTGTGTTGATGATTTCTCAACAAAACTGGCAGTTCGGGTTAACTCCAGACGAGACTCTTTTAAAATACCACTTAACTTTGTAGTAAGGCAGGTAAGTCTTACTCTTAGGAAAGTTAAATGAACATGAAATACAATTTTTTTTCCCCCTTTGTATCATTGAAGCTAAGATACACTTGACTTGTTAGCGATGGCATAACTGACAGTTTGACAGTTTGAAACACAACGACAATATTCGGACAATTTTACCAATCATCTTCGATCAATCTAAATGCATCTTCGCCGCGATGAATTAATAAATCACTAAATAAATACATAAACAAATAGGTATATACACAAATTTAAAAATAAATAAAATAGATATATAATAAATAAAATAAATAAAGATAACTTTAAAAAGAATATTAACAATAACTTACATTATGACGTAATAACCCCTTCCCTTTGCTCCTCTCGCCCGATTCATTAGCCAATAATAGCGCTTCCGTTTCTTTCCGTTTCCTCCTCTTCCCCGTCATCAAACTTTCCTCTCTCCCCTAATTTCTCTTCCATGCCATCTTCCCAAACCCGAGTATGAATCAGAAAAAGAAAAAAAAAAAAGAAAAAAAACTCCTTTTCATGAATCCTCATCCTGTTCCTCACCCTGTCATAATCCTCGACTTTTCTCTCTTTCCCCTAGCTCCCATCTTTATCACCCACGCCATTTCCCCTTTCATCGAGTCTTCTTCCACCCTCTCATTCGTCCCTCTCCCCCCCCCCTGCTAATCCCCCTAATCCCCAATGATGGTCTTCTCGCGTAATCGCTCTCTATCCTCCCCCCCAAGACAACACAGCAAAGAGAGAACAAAAATAAATATTGCTTTTATCCCCTCTCTATCTCTCCTCTTCTCCCTATCCCTTCTTCTCCCTATCCCCTCTTCTCCCTATCCCTTCTTCTCCCTATCCCCTCTTCTCCCTATCCCTTCTTCTCCCTATCCCCTCTTCTCCCTATCCCTTCTTCTCCCTATCCCCTCTTCTCCCTATCCCTTCTTCTCCCTATCCCCTCATCTCCCTATCCTCTTAAAAAGATCCACGGTAAACAATGAATGAACAAACAATAAAACAACTACAGCAACAACAGCAGCAATAATAATAACGATAATAATAGTACTAGTAGTAATAATGGTAATAAAAATAACAGCAACACTAACAATAACATCAATGATCAGTATCAAAAAAAAATATCTCCCCGTTTCCTTCCTTCCTCCTCCTTCTTCCTCGACTAAAAACATTAATCTCCCCTCTCATCTTATCTCCCTCCTTCCCTCCTCCCCAGTTTCGTCCAGGATCTAATCCCTACTCTTTTCTCTTCCTCTTCTTCATTCTCTTCCCTAATTTCGTCCGGATATCCTCCCCCCTCCTTCTCTCCCCTCTTTCCTCTTCCTCATTTTTCGTCCAAGACTCTCCTCTCCCCCCCTCTTCCCCTCCTTCCTCTCCCTCCCCACCAATTTTCGTCTATGAACCTCCTCTCTTCTCCCTCCCCCTTCCTCCCCTCCCCAACTCCCTCCCCCAACCTCCCAACATACTAACCTCCCCCTCCTCATTCTATCCCCACCCCCCACCTACCAATTTTCATCCATGAACCTCCTCTCTTCTCCCCCCCTCCTTCCTCCTCCCCTCCTCCCCTCCCCCCACTCCCCCCCACCCCAACCTCCCCCAACGTACTAATCTCCCCCTCCTCTTTCTCTCCCCCCCCCCTCCCCCACCACCCAGGCTCGGCCGTCGGGGAGGAGGGCTACACGGCATGCTACCTGGGCCACTCCGCCGTGATCCTCCTGACGGCGCTCACGGCCCTGGGGACGTCCACGCTGCTGCTCCTCCATCAGTACATCAAGGTCAACCATCCGCGAAGGTGAGGTCGAGAAAGGTCAAGTCTAAAGGTCAAAGGTCAAAGACGTGAAGAAAGGTCGATTTTTTTTTCATTTTATTTACTTTTTTAAAATGTATTTCTTGGGGGTCTGGGTGGTTGGTGGGGGTGGTGGGGTAGATGGGTGGAAGGGAGGAGGGAGAGGAGAACGGTGGAGGGGAGGAGGGAAAGGAGAACGGTGGAGGGGAGGAGGGAGAGGACGGCGCAGGAGAGACGGAGGGAGAGGAGGGTGGCGGAAGGAAGGAGGGAGGGAGGGAGGGAGGGAGGGAGGGAGGGAGGGAGGGAGGGAAGGAGGGAGGGAGGGAAGGAGGCGTCGGGGAGTCGGAGCGGGCTGGGCGCAAGGATCACTCTGTCTGGACCTCCGCTATCAATTCATCATTCAGTGGGCCACATATTTCACAAATGCAACACCACCCATAAAAAAACAACTATAAAAAAACAGAAACAACAACAACAGAATAATGTAAAACACATAAAAGAATCGGGAAGTCTCAAGAATGAGCTACTAGGGCCTACGACAACAATAAATATCAATAAAAAAAACACGTTTATTTAACAATTCCGCATGACAATCCTTTACAACCTACAAACAAACGAACACAGAGCCAAATCAAATATCAAATTATTAAAAAGACAATTAAAAATGATAATTGTACCCATCAACCCTACACTTCTAACGAAACAAACACACAAACAAATACACAACCCAAGAACTGCACAACCCACTAAACCAACAACCCAATAAACAAACACAAAAACCAACAACCAAATCACAAAAGACCCCCAACAAACCCCCCCTACCTCCCACCCCATGCCCCTCCTCCGCCTCCTCCGCCCTCGCCGCCGCCCCTCCGCCCTCGCCGCCCGCCCCTCTGCCCTCGCCCCGCCTCCTCCGCCTCCGCCTCCGCCATGCTCCGCGAAATAAGCCTGAGGGCGGCCCTGACGGCACTCCTGGCCGGTGCGCGTCTCCGTGGTTTCCCTTAATGCAGGTGGGCCGTGCTTGCTCTTGTCTTTCGTTTCTCTCATTTTCTTCTGTCTCTTTCTTCGTCTTCTTTATTTTGATAATATAATCTTTTTTTTCTTCTTCTTTTTTCTTTGTGTGTGTGTGTGTGTGTATTTGTATTTGTGTGTGTGTGGGGGGGGCGTGTGTTTGTTTGATAGTATCGGTTTTTTTTTTCCTTTATTACTGTTTCTCCCCAATTTATCTGTCTCTTTCCCCTTTTTCTCTCCCTTCTCTTTTTCCCTTTTTTCTTTTTTTTTTTCTTTTCGCCCTGTCAGTCCCAACCTCTCACCCTCATCCTCGCTCTCACTCTCTTCCTCTCATCTTCACCCTCACACTCTTCATCTCTCACTCTCACCCCCTTCTTCTATTCCAAATCATCATCGATTCCCGCTACTCACACCTTCGCCCTTGCTCCAGTCTCTTCTCTTGAGATTTCTCTCTCTCTTCCCTCACTCACAGCCTAAGTCATTCTAGTTTTTTTCTTTTTCTTCTTCTTCATATCCACTTCTCTCCTGCCCCTCGCGATCCTCTCCTCCATCTCCTCCTTTATTAAAATGGTTTTGTTTGGTCTCTCTCTCTCTCTCTCTCTCTCTCTCTCTCTCTCTCTCTCTCTCTCTCTCTCTCTCTCTCTCTCTCTCTCTCTCTCTCTCTCTCGCTCCCGTCTTCCTTCTGATTTCTCTTACGTCATTTTTCGTCTTTCCTCTCTCTTTCCTCGTTTCTTTCAAGTTTCATTTGGTCTCTCACCTCTCCCCTCTCTCTTATTCCCTTTCTCTATCTATCCTTTACCCGATTTTCCGCGTTTGTCCTTTGTTCCTCTTGCTTTCTGTTATTTTATTTCCTTCTATGGCGTCCTCCGCCCATATTCAATCTTGTTCGTCCTGTCTTCGTTTTCTTCCTTCTTTTCTTTCCTTTCTTCCATCTATTCTTCTCTCCCTTTCCTTTCTTCCATCTATCCTTCTTTTTCTTTCATTTCTTCCATCTATCCTTCTTTGTCTTTCCTTTCTTCCATCTATCCTTCTTTTTCTTTCATTTCTTCCATCTATTCTCCTCTCCCTTTCCTTTCTTTCCTTTCCTTGCTTTTCGTATTCTCCTTTCTTTTTTTCCTTCCTCCTTTCCTCTTCCGTCTTCCCGGATCTTTCTTTTCTTACTCTTTTCCTCCCTCTCTTTCCTTTTTCTTCCTTGTCCTTTCCCTCTTCTTCCTTCCCTTCCCTTTCCTAGCTATGCATCAAGACTCCATTCCGTTATTTATTTCTATTCTTTCCCCTCTCCCTCTTCCTATACATTCCCCCTCTCTCTTTTTCTCTTCTCTCTCGCTTTCAAACCAGACTTCGAGACGCAGTTTGGCCCTAGTACATGGTGTATATACAGTATGTGCAGAGACAGGCGCATTAACATAAAGGAAAATGGATTTGGCGAAACGTTCCTGGTATTTTTCTCTTTTTTCTTTTTTTTTTAGTTTTAGGACTCTCTCCTCTTTCGTCTTCTTTCTTTCTTTCTTTCTTTCTCTCTCTCTCTCTCTCTCTCTCTCTCTCTCTCTTTCTCTCTCTCTCTCTATCTCGCCTGCTTGCTTGCTTGCTCCCCCCCACTCACTCACTCACTCACTCTCTCTCTCTCTCTCTCTCTCTCTCTCTCTCTCTCTCTCTCTCTCTCTCTCTCTCTCTCTCTCTCTCACACACTCTCTCTCTCTCTCTTACTCTGCCTAGTCTTAGCTTCCTCCTTCCTACCATACCACTACCACCCACCCTTCCCTCCTCCCCTATCCCCATACTCCCCCCTTCCCCTTCCCCCAAGGGTCCTTATCGGCCTCATCCCCTTCATCCCCCCCTCCCCCTTTCCCCTCCCCCCCCACTTCCCCATAACTCCAGCTCTCTCGACAGACTCACTTCTCCCTCGCCATTGTCTGAGCCAGGTCGCGATAATGATTATAAAAAAAAGGAGGAGAGAGAGAGAGAGAGAGAGAGAGAGAGAGACTAGAGAAACAAAAAAGGAAAAGAGTATTGAAAAGAAAGAGAAAAAAAAGACTTTCTCATTTTCCCTTTTTTTTTTTTCTTCATAACATTTTTTGTTTCTTTCTCTTTTTTTTTCTTTTCGTAAGGGGTTCGTCGGGGAAAGGTAATATGGTGTAATTGGGGTTCGGAAATCAGCTTGCTGCGTTATATCAGCCTGACAGATTGACAGAAAAGAGTGGGGGGGGGGGGGGTGAATGAAGGAAGGAAGGAAGGAAGGAAGGAAGGAAGGAAGGAAGGAAGGAAGGGAACAGATTGACTAAAAAAACAGAGAGACAGAAAGAGATAGACACACAGAGACAAAGAGAGAGAATATGAATGAGAATGTAAATGAATGAGTGTGACAATGAGAGTGACAGTGGCCGAGAGAGAGAGAGAGAGAGAGAGAGAGAGAGAGAGAGAGAGAGAGAGAGAGAGAGAGAGAGAGAGAGAGAGAGAGAGAGAGAGAGAGAGAGAGAGAGAGAGAGAGAGAGAGAGAGAGAGAGAGAGAGAGAGAGAGAGAGAGAGAGAGAGAGAGACAGAGAGAGAGAGACAGAGAGAGAGAGACAGACAGAGAGAGAGAGACAGAGAGAGACAGAGAGAGACAGAGACAGAGACAGAGACAGAGACAGAGACAGACAGAGAGAGAGAGAGAGAGAGAGAGAGAGAGAGAGAGAGAGAGAGAGAGAGAGAGAGAGAG